TCCCTAGGAAAGTTGAACTGGGTGATAAGGGAGTAAAGCCCCTCAAGCGTCATGGTCGAGGGCCCAAACTTGTCTAACGTCTGACCTTGACGGGAGGAAGACGCCAAACTACCCGAGGCGATTCGGTCTACGGGTTCGAACTCTTCCTCGAGCTTGGGCTCTACCTCAGGTTCACTAAGGCTATCGGGGGATACAACTCGGTTCATAGAACCTGCATCTGACCCCCTCGAAGAGCTGTCTAAGCTATCCAAGCTAGACATCGGGAGGAAAAGGATACCAGGAAGAAAGTAGACTCACCTAGAAAAAAGGAAAACGGACTACGGAAACTTGGATGCGAGCTAAAACTTGGACGCGAGCTCAAGAAGAAAAACGTAGGAGAATGGCAATGAAAAGCGACTGGGGTCCCCCACTATTTGTACCCATAGTGACCGAAACAGACGGTTCTGATCGAGGCAAATCCAAAGGCCCACGATCGTGTTGATCGCACGTCTCTTAAGACCGAGACGTGACTGGCCGCACGTCTCTTAAGACCGAGACGTGACTGGCCGCACGTCTTTTGAAACTAAAGGAGTGCCGATGCACGTCTCCCCGCATTAAAGGCGGCAGCGGCGCATTTTTCAAATTTGAAATAACGTCCGCTGTCACGTCTCCCAGCGATGCGTTTTTAAATTTTGAAATAAACGCGTGTTGTCACGTCTTTCAGCATTTATAGACGGATTGGCATGTTTCCTGACTTTTTGGCACTCGAGAAACCCGGAAAACTCCTGACGAACGCGCACTTCGCGCTATCAGTAACACCAGTCCGAAGTACGGGTCAAATCCACCCACCACCTCGCAAACTCCCCGCACTAGGGCAAGCCCCTTAGCGCGAGGAGTGGGTGGCAATTGATGAAGGAAGATTTGGCCCGACCTCGCAACCACTCAACACGTGGCAGAGGCAACAGCTCGGCACGACAGTACGCCCCAGGCACGAGCTCCAAAAGGAGGAACCAGCGGTCCGAGCTCCCCAAAAGGAGCCTGAAATCTTCCTTTGACCCCGAACCTTACAAGGAGCACAAAGGGAAACAACCCGAACTGGCCTGCCCCAGGGCAGTTCGGGCCACACCTCTATTCGAACTCAAGACTTCACCTCGCAAACCACTCCAGCACTTCGTCTCCAGGTCGCCGAACTGAACAACCATACCGTACCTGACACCAAAGGAGTTTGTATCCTGAGGCGGCGCACCTGACTGATTTAGGATCTGACACTTGACAGCCACACTTCAACGGCCACCTGCCACCGCCAGTTCCAGTTACAGAGACGGTTTCGACAAAGAGAGCAGTGGCGGTTCTGCCCTAGCAGGGGTGATGACACCCGAACTGGCAGAAGGGTAGAGGTAATGATACCCGACCTGACAGGAACTTGGGAGTGAGTACGCGAAGTGGCTATAAAAGGCCCCCTTCCCCTCAAGAAGAGAGGTATGTGATAAGTTTGCGCCATCTGGTTTTTTATCTTGCCTTCGAGGAAATACTAACTTGAGTTTTGGAGCATTCTCACCGGGTTCTTCCCCGGAGATTACTCGCTTTCTCCACCGTTTCAGGCACCTTTCGCTCCAGCCCGAGACAAGATCGTTGACAGATAGGACCGGCCGGATTACGCACCATCAATTACATTGCTTTAGAATTGAGTAATGAGATTCGGTTCCTGTGAAGAAACATGATGAAGAAAAACTATATTTAAAAGGAAGAATTGTGAACGGAGGAGGAAGAAGAGAGGTAACTACGAGGAACCATATCACATGCCAGTGATTAAAGCAAGAGCAGTGACCATGCTGGACGGCATCGATGGCATGATAAATGACCCAACCACAAATGTTGGTACGACACTGATTAAATCTATATTGTTCTGTTCAGCAAATTCCATTGCCGCTTTTTCTGCCAATGTTTTAGAGGCAAAATACATCTGACATAGACAAGATGATAAAGCGTCATGAGAGACTCACAACTTGGGGTCAGGCAAGTTTAGGGACTAAAAGGCTAAAACTTTTGCCCCAGAAATGGATCGGGTGACCCAAGATCTGACCCTGCTTCATACTAGCATTTAGTGGGTATAGATCCTCTTAAAACATCTGGATTCTAAATATGGGTGACCTTATCTAACTGAGCTCTGATTGCCCAGCCCATCCGGCCTGCAACTCTTTTGGGCTGGACTAATGTTTTTCATTTGAACCAGCCCAAATACCTTTTTAGGCTGCACTTGTTTTAGATGTTAGTACGGATCCGTGTAAAATTTTATTCCTGATCTGTATTTGTTGGTATTTGGATGGAATATGGTTTTACATCGAAAGTTGATATAAATTCCACTCATAGTGGAGTTTTACATCGATAACCAATTTAAATCAATCGGTATTGAATTCCATCAATAAATATTTACACCGACTCGATCTGGCCAGAACACATTAAGTGACGAGATATGTATCACCTTTTGTGATCCTGCTAGAGTCGGAGCCCACATCCTTATCCTTTTATTACATCTATTACATCTAGGATATGGATTGAGTTTGGCTGGATTTGTCTCAGATCCGACCTATTTCATGCCCTATAAAATCACCTATGGAAGATCAGGTTCTCAAAGCAGCTTCACTTTTATACTAATTTTAATTTCATCAGATGAGTTCTGATTAGAAAATAACACCAATTATGTTTACTAATGGGTTAATGGATGAACTTATGTCATCATAGAGGAAAAACCATTTATCTGTTGAACTGATCAAATGGGTCAATGATTCAACTGTCATTGATCGATTTTTCTTTTTTTTTTTTTTTGCTTTTTAAACTTGTCTAGGGGTTTAAATTAGATCAGAAAGAATACTTACCTGTTAGCAGGTAAGTGGGTTAGGGTCTAAACATACCCAGATTCCCGGTTGTATGATGGATTGACCGGTCCTGCCAGCTGAGTCGATGATGGATTCCTTATTAGTTGTTACTATCTAGGTATTATAGAAGTGTAAGTCAGATGAACTAGACTAGCCCTTTTCCAGTTCAGTCTCTATACTTTTGGTTTGGAATAGGACCAGACTCAAACTCGGCAAAGGTTTTCTTAATCGGATCAATTGTAAATCTTGTTCTTTTATCACCTATCTTATTTCTGCCATGTGGAAGGAATTGGCTTTCCAATGTCTATGTTTGCTTTATACCCCATGATTAATCTTAGATTTCCTTGTTATGTTTAATTGTTGAATTTTGAATTTGAAGGCATTAATAGAATTGCCATCTGGCCATGTTCAAAATGCTTGGGTCTTCTATTTATAATCTATGCATGTTTAGGAGATAGGAAGAGAATTCATACCCTTGCGCACAACTTACTCTGGGTTAGCCCCCGACCCCAACCCAAAATAAAATTAAAATCTGGCCAGCGTTGAAAAACATGGACAAACCTAACAATTCTATTATTTTAATTATTTTAAAGGTAAAATGAAATAAATTGTCCAATCTGGAGTTGGGATCTCCTCTCAACAAAAAACCGCCTCAACCATGATTTTTAAAATTGGACTGGAAAAACTGGAAACCGGTTAGGTGATTGGTTCTGTTTTTCTTCAAAATCGGATTTTTCTCAAAAACTGTTGATTTTGGTCAACAAACCATTGACCCAGGTGATTAACTGTTCAAATAATTTTGATCGTTTTTTATTTATTTTTAATTTTTTAATTTTTTTGTCAGAACGGGCTGACCGTTTTGTCTGAATGATGGGACCATTTTGACCCAGGAATCAGACCCCTGATCAGTTCGTTCTCCAAATCGATTTTAAAAACCTTGGTCTCAACACATTCCAATACGAGATGTGTTGACATAGATGAATTAGGATTTCCTATCAACAAAATATATTCCAACACCCTACCAAGAAGATCTAACACTGCACCTCACCATAAGACTGGGATGCACTATGTGTGAGATGTGTGGTGCCAGATCATATTGGTAGGGTGTTGGAAAGTATTTTATTGGCAGGTGATCCAGACTCGATACAGATCATGTTAAAACAAGTTGAAAGGGTTTTTGTTGAGAGGAGTTCTGGCTCCCCATTCAAACTCCATGTCATTGGGTTGGTTTATGATTGACTTCAACTCAACCTAACCCAACATAGACAAAGGGGCCTGGTCCTTGATGGAACTTGGTCTCGTAGATGTAAAATCCAAGTCTAGTCTAAAATTTATCCAAACAAAAATGTAAATGTGCAGAGCCAGTTCTAACCAGGCCCTGTAGAATAGACTATCGGATCTGATATAAACATACTGTAGAATGTAGACCACCGGCATACAATGCAGCAGGCCATGCCGTTACGGCATGAAAGTATGGGGGAGGGGGCCGGCATGAGTTCGGGCCCAAAGCCTGTGTCCTGGCAAAAAACATAGATGTTTATATATTTATATATTTTTTCTTATATATATATATATATATATGGAAATGAGAATTAAAATCAGTGGCAATGCGATTTTATTCCCAAGGGAGGGGTAGGGAATGGCCATTCCCTCAAATGGGGAATGCCATTCCAACAGGAATGAAAATGAGATTTCGATTCCGCTCAACCAAACAGTTGTAATCAGAATAGCCCATTCCGAATCCGATTCCAGACTCTTATTCCTGCAAACCAAACGGATCCTAAGACTCTATCAAATAAGAGTGCAAATGCTGGTTCAGTTTTGCTGATGTTTGGCAAGAAAAATGTTAGTTAATCAGTTGGATGGTAAGATCTTCTGTTGATCGTAACAGAGACCTTGAAATCAAACCTAATCTGCACTTGAGGAAAGTAGGAAAATGAATCAAAATTCAAGGGGAATAGTGTTGGTAAATAAAACTCAAAAACCTAATAAAACTCCGTCTGAGGTGGATTGAACTTTAAGTTTCCCTATTAGAGTCAGTAGAATCATTTATGATGATTCTAACTCTATTGACTACAGAAATCATATAATCGATAACTCAGCAATTAATACTTTCTTGTTTTCATCATATCTTAGAGCACTCACCTCAGGGTCTTTGGACTCGAAATCGATGGGAGTGGTGAGATGGAAGACGCCTGTGCAACCGTGGATGGCTTCATTGTAGCTTCCCTCTTCGGCAAGATCGGCCTTCCATAGAGTCATATGCGTCTTAGCTTTTGGGAAATCTAATAGATGCTTCACTTTGTTTATGTTGCCTGCAGCATTATTCATTGAGAATGGGATGGCAAAACAAGATGGAATAACGGAAAACAAAGAAGAAACCGGTTTTGAGACGACTCAACTGGGATCGCGCACAGTGGCCCTAACAATGTAACCCTGCTCGAGAAGCCTCATAACAAGCCATGAACCGATGTATAACCAGATGCGCCTGTCACACACACCCTGCCACGTTCTGTTTCTCATTCCATGGCTGCAACTTGGAAGGAAGAAGGTAAATTGAAAAGACATATAAAAGCTCTTAATTAATAATTTTGATCTTGATCATTTTAGTTACAAGATAAGCAGGTAAGCTTACCACCTAGCTACCAATCAAACTTCTACAAACTTCATTACCACCTAGCTACTAACCTACTAATCAAACTTTAATACACTTCATTATTCACATGAGAGTAATTCTAATTTGATGTGATGCGATAAGCTGTTTTACATGTGGGTTTGACTATGATATTGAAAATATATGATATTTGAAAAACAACTGACCAATAAATAAAATGTGGTAGTCAATAAAGTATTATTTATTAAAGGATAGGATAAATTACAAAGACCCCCCTTATATTATGGGGTCAGTGATAAAGTCGCCTCTGTACCTTTTTTTTGTTATAAACACCCCTTGAACTTTAACCGTTAGATAACAACTCCTGTTAAGTCAGATGACGGAAAGTATTAAATTACCAAAATACCTTATTAAATATTTTCTATTTTCTTTTTTGCCTTTTTTTTCATAAAACCTGTTTAACTTATTGTTTTTCCTTTTTTCTCTTCTTTCCCCCTCCCTCACCGTCCTACCTCATTCTTTCTCTCTCCCAACTCTCCCAAATGAGAGGATGGAGGAAACTCATTTCTCATCTTCCCTTTCTTCTCTTCTTTTCCCCTCCCTCACCGTCCTCTCTCATTCTTTCTCTCTCCCAACTCTCTGAAATGAGAGGACGGAGGAAACACATTTCTCATCTTCCCTTTCTTCTATTCTCCATCTTCAATCTCATCTCTATAGCCGTTGTCGATGATGCCGCAATAATGGAAAAGCTCGCCACTTCGCTTTCTAGGCACCCTTCAGACTGGTTAGGCAACGCAATCCCCGGTGACTTGCCTTCTCTAGCCAACCTCACAAATTTGATAGAAATTAATCTTAATTCTAATAAATTCACCTCCATTCCTAACACATTTCTACGGGGCTCACGAGTTTGCAGTTGTTGAGCATCAATAACAACATTGATCTCGCGCCATGGTCTATACCTATTGATTTGGCGCAATCCACGACCTTGGTCACATTTTACGCAACCAGGGCCAACATAATGGGTATGATAGCAGACATTTTTGGCTCATTTATGAATTTGTTGTCTCTCAGGCTATCTTACAATTAGGGGTGTCTATGAAAAACCTAAAAATTGAAAAACCGAACCGAACCGCAAAATTTGGTTAACTGAACCGATTGGTTCATTTTTAGTTCAAATTTTTTGAAAAATCAAAGGATTGATTCGGTTTTTAGTTAACCTACAAAATAAACCGGCGGTTAACCGAATCAACCGATATATATATTTATATGTATATTTTATATATATTTTTAATATATGTCACATATTTTCTATGTATTATATATAAATATATTATATATATTATATATTTTTAAAATATTTATAATATATTACATATCATTTATTATTTATAATATAATATTATACATATACTTATATGTTATATATTATAAATATAAAAAACTAAAAAACTGAAGAACCGAACCGATCAAAAATTGGAACCGGTAGACCAGTTAATCGGTGGTACCGGTTTGGTTTCGGTTTGGTGAAATGGTAAAACCGGTACCATCGGTTCGGTTTACAAAAAAGGGCCATGGTTCGTGATGAGGGCGGATTTGGCCCTCCAATAACCTCATGACACATGGCATCCCGAAACAGTTGGACGACACCCAGATGCCACCTAAAAGATGATTTGGAGTCCTAGATCGTAGTTTGTCTTCGCCCTGACTTGGCGACCTGCCTTTATCACTGACTTGGCGACCTCGACCACAACTTAGGTCGGCTTGCAGCACCTCGTCCAGGGCCAACCTATAGCACCTCGTCACCGGCCGAAGTGACATCGACGTGAGGCACGATCTCTCTCGAGGGCTTGCCGACCTAATCGAGGACCAGGCGGGACCTGCGAGATGTGCTCGCTGACAAATTCAGCATGCATACCCCGACACTCCTAGGTTTCTCTGAAGTTGGCCCGCGTACCGAATGTTCTGGAGGATGGTCAATGTGCATAGCAGTTACCTCCGAGGATTTCAGACCGGTAAGGCACGACCTCCTAGAAATATTGGATGTGGTGCGCGAAGCCTATACCAAACAATGCCTATATAAAGGCACCAACTGCAATGACACATGGTACGCGTGATTATTTTACTCACTAGCATTCAAGCACTCAAGTATTCAGCTCGCATTTATAGTATAAGTATTGACTTAAGCATCAGAGCGACCTTGCTGGGTTAGCTACCCTGGATTCTCTGATCTACTATTCTGCAGATTGGTCCAACTCGCCGCACAACTGGAGATTGGATCATCTTCCAGCTAGGAGTATCTAGATCGTGCACCATCAGTTCGGTTAACCAAACCATGGACACCCCTACTTACAATAGCCTAATGGGTCCTCTGCCTCCTTCTTTAGGTGGTACTAAGATCCAGAACCTGTGGCTTGACCATTAGGCATCTGGGTTAGTTGGAACTATTGAGGTTCTCAGAACAATGACGTAGATCTCCCAGGTGTGGCTCAATCAAATAAGTTCACGGGTCCGATCCCAGATCTTTCTAAGGGCATAGTGCTATTCGATCTTTAGCTCCGTGACAATCGATTCATCGGAGTCATGCCCGAGACATTGATGTTGATGCCCAACTTGCTTCACATGTCATTATCGAGCAATATGTTTTAGTGTCCATTGCCCCAGTTCAAGTCCAATGTGGAGGTTAATCTTGGCTCGGGCAATCATTTCTGTAGTAAAACGCCTGGTCCTTGTGATCCTTAGGTGACGGTATTGCTCGCTATGGCCGGCGGCTTCAAGTGCCCCATGAGCTTCGCGGAAGCTTGGGTTGGTAATAACACATGTCATGGTTAGGTCTTTGTTACTTGCGATTCACAGAGAAATGTTATTGTGATCAACCTAGGGAAGCAACAATTATCAGGGATGATATCGCCTGCCATTAGCAACCTTCATTGAGGATGTTGTTCCTGAACGACAATAATCTCACGGGACCAGTGATGAGGGAGGACTTCAGAAGAGGGTCAGTTTCAGTTTCAACTCACGAGTTGCATTACACAGTGAAGTGGGTAGTATCTAAGGAGTTGAAGAAGAAGACCTTCTTGTCATACAAACACGGTCTTTTGGGGAGAGAAAGGGGAAGGGGAAGAAGAGAGACCAGGGGAGAGAGAGAGGGAGGACTTCGGAAGTTCGTTGCCACTACAACAGCTACCACCGTTTCTGTTCATGTATTGCGAGGTCAGAGAAGATGAACAGTGTTTTTCTTCGAACAGGTATTACAAGGGTAGTATGGGGATTAAAAAATATTGCAACGACAGATTTCAACGGAAGGCTAACGGAAGGGGTTTTTGTCTCACAGTCATAGTATAGGGGGTTCTTTGTAATTTACCCTTTATTAAAATTCATGGGTGGGTTTTGATTGATCAAAACTCTTTCTAGTTTCCATACCATATCTTTCCCGCATCATAGATTTTCCCTTTACATGTATATTGTATTTTTAGTATTATAAAATTGCCTTAATTGATTGATGACTTTAAAGGTAAATTTGTCTATTACAAATAGTAATTATATAATTATTCAGGGTTATTATCTGAAACTCCATAGTCTCCATTTTCTTATACTTATTTTTGATATTTAAAGAAACCCCCATTTGTCATACAAGTGTTTAGAAAACCAAACCAGACCGACCGATCAGACTGGTTGAACTATTACCCAGGACCTTAGTCGCTTTGAACATACCCTAATAATCGTGTTAGTTAAAAAAACGGCTGATCAACCAATTTAACCGAAAAATGATGAATTGGTCCTGATTTCATGAAACAACTCAGGTCCTTAATTGATTGATGACTTTAAAGGGTAAATTTGTCTATTACAAACTATAATTGTATAATTATTTAGGGTTACCATCTGAAACTCCACAGTTTCCATTTCCTTTAACTTATTTTGGATATTTAAAGAGACCCTTTTATATCAAACTAGTGTTTAGAAAACTAGACCAGATTGGTTGAACTATTACCTAGGACCTTGGTCAGTTAGGACATACACTAATAACCATTTCAGTTAAAAACCCCATTGATCGACCGGTCTAACAGGAAAATTGTGAGCCAGTCTCGATTTAATGAAACAGCTCAGGTCCTTTAACTAATAAAAAGTTTAGGGAAGTTGTCTAAAAGTCACCATGAGCTTTCAGCATTTCTCTTACACTCATCACAACTTTTCAAAATGTCTAAAACTCACCATGTCACTAACTTGACGTTAAACAGACTAACAGGTGTTAATAAATTACCATTTTAACCTTCATAGAAAAATATAAAATATACACAAAATAAATTAATGGGTGTTAATATATTACCATTTTAATATTTAGACATGAAAAAAAGGAAAAAGTTAAAAAAACATTTTCAAATATAAAATACATAAAAACATAGAAAATATAAAAGATTATAGAAATCACAAAAAACATAAAAAATTATAGAAATTGCAAACAAAATAAAAAATTGTTTTCAAATTATAGAAACTATAGAAATGGAAAAACAAAATGAGAAAATAAAAATTGTAGAAAAAACACCAAAAAATTATAGAAAAACATAGAAAATACAAATAAATAACAGAAATTACAGGAAAAGTTATGGATTGTAGAAAATAAAAAAATGTAAAAAAACAGAAATTATAAAAAATATTGGAAATTATAAAAAAAACACTAAAAATGCAAAAAAAAAAAACAAGAAAAATTGAAAACTGGAAAAGTCCATTTTTCCTCTAACTCACAATTGAAGGGTAATTTGGCCATGAAAATTGTTATTTATGCTGACATGGACACCTTTGTTAAGAAGCATTAACGGTGCACTAACAGAAAGTGAGTTTTGAAAAATAAAAGATTACTCACATGGTAAGTTTTAGACATTTTGAAAAGTTATGGTGAGTTTAAGAAAAATGTTGAAAACTCATG